TCCTAACCACAGAAAACCCAAATCTGAAAGTAATCATTTTTGAAGCCAAGCATGAGGATTCAGCTCCATACTAATTCTGCATGAATATGTGGTTGGCTTTGTCATATTTACATATAATTCATTATATGTCCCTTTTGCTTTTCAGAGTCTCCTGAGAAATATCCTTACTTGAAGGTAATAATTTGTATATTTTTATCTTAAATTATTGACTACATGTTCCATGAAATATACGTTATTTATTAATCATTTTGTTTCAAAACCTATTTAGCCTACTGTTGAAATGAGAGATTCTGTTCCAAATAAAGCAGTAGGAGTGGAGGATATACAAACATCTAGATCAGGTAAATTTTGCAATACAAATTTAACTCTGGAAAGAGTACATTAAAATATTTGAAATGCGCAGTCTTCTTATTCCTAATTTTTTGTGTGTGAATTTGATGGAAGGGTTTGACATAAATAATGCAGATGTCATTGTTGGTACCTGTGTTTGAAAAAAAGATATTTACAAACAATATTAAAAAGGAATCTTAAAAAATGTAAGCTTTAACTCAGATGTTTTTACATTTAAGTTCAATACCTAAACTTTCCTATTTGGAATCCCTTAATGATGAGACTCTAAGACTTTTTCCAATGTTTTAAAATGCTTATCAGAATTCTGACCTTTACCTAAATGTGTGTGAATGCGTGTGTGGTGTCTGGTATCTTTGGTTATTAAAAATGGGGAAAGTAATTAATTATTCTTTAATGACTGTTTGGTAGATGTAGTCTTTGAAAAAATCGATTCTAAAAGTTTTTGGCCTAGGCCCTTTTATACTATTAAAANTAGTGCCTATAATTTGATAGACACAATAAATGTTTGTTGCCATACCGACTGACTGACTGAGGGCATGAGTGCGTAAATATAATGTTTTCTGAAGTTGCTTTATTTATTTATTTATTCATATCTTTATTTTTTAATTTTAATTTTTATTTTTTCAAAAGATGTCTGGCAAGGGGATCTTAACTCTTGGCTTGGTGTTGTCAGCACCACCCTCTTCCAAGTGAGCTAACTGGCCATCTCTATATAGGGATCCGAACCTGTGGCCTTGGTGTTATCAGCACCATACTCTCCCAAGTGAGCCACAGGTTGGCCCTGAAGTTGATTTTTTTTATTTTATAGGAAGGAACAACAAAGTCAACAATTGGAACAAAGGAAAATGGTATTGGTATCGAAAGTGCTCCACGAGAGCAAACAAATAATGACAATTTGACTTCTGTTGATGGGATGCACAATAATAATAAAAGTGGTAAGTTAGTAAATATCTATAAAAATTTTTTCTGTGCTTAAATACTATTATAAAAATCCAATTAAAGCGTTTAGAGCCAAACGTGATATCCATTTCTGTAAATGTTTTGCTATCTTTCTTCATACTACCAACTTCTTCCTGAAACTGCTTCAACCTCTGCAATTATTTTTTGCTATTATTTTATTTTTAATTTTTAAAAATATTCATGAATGGAAATAGACTTGTATATGTATTTAAAATTCACAGTAATAAATATTCTCATTAATGTATCTGTGACTACATTTTATAGATATGAAGTCTGCATTAGGATTAGAAGAGGAAGATGTAGACTC